TACACGGTCGGCAGCGGAGAGCGGCGCGGCCTCCGGACGGCCCGGCAAGGGCGGCACAGATCCACGGCGCGACCCGGCGGAGCGGTTCAGCGGAGGAGCACGGCAAGCGGGTCGGCGGGGGGGCCAGCGGGGGGCCAGCGGCGTCGTCGGGCGGGTGGCAGTTAGGGGGGGGGAAGGGGAAGAAAATTCACCCTATTTGACTTGGTGTTTTCTGTGAGTGCAACAAGCTTTGTTTTGACCAAGTCAATCTACACATGAGCCGTCGTACGAGCTGCGGACATATGTACACGCACGCATGCCTTCATAAACACATATGGAATCCTCCTCCTCCTCCTCCTCCTCCTCCTCCTCCTCCTCCTCCTCTTCCTCCTCCTCCTCATCCTCATCCTCATCCTCATCCTCATCCTCATCCTCCTCTTCCTCCTCCGCCGCCGCATCCTCCTCCTCCTCCTCCTCCTCCTCCTCCTCCTCCTCCCTCCTCTCCTCGTCTCTCCTCCTCCCTCCTCCTCCTCCTCCTCCTCCTCCTCTTCTCCTCCTCCTCCTCCTCTCTCCCTCCTCCTCCTCCTCCCTCCTCCTCCTCCTCCTCTCCTCTCTCCGCCTCCTCCCTCCTCTCCTCCTCCTCCTCCTCCTCCTCCTCCTCCTCCTCCTCCTCCTCCCCTCCTCCTCCTCCTCCTTCTCCTCCTCCTCCTCCTCCTCATCCTCCTCCTCCTCTGGACAATGGACACCAAGGAATGCGCTCATCCTGTGGGTCACGAGCCCGTTCAGCCTTTCTGGGCCAACGGGGGACCCTCTTGGGGAGCTTCGGGGCAGTTTTGGAGGCCATCTTGGGCGTCTTGGAGGCCATGTTGGGCGTGTTGGAGGCCTCTTGGGCTTTCCTGGAGCCCTCTTGGGGCCATCCTGGAGGCCACTTGGGGCGTCATGGGGCCCTCTTGGGGGCCTCTTGGGCGATCTTGGGGGCCTCTTGGGCCGTCTGGAGCAGTCTGAATGCCGAGAAGAAACAAATTCCAGAATCCTTCAAACACCTAAGGAAAATCAATGAGTTCGGCCTCTTCGGGCCCTCCTGGAGGACCTCTTGGAGGCCTCTTGGGCCGTCTGGGAGGCCTCTGGGGGGCCTCTTGGGCCGTCTTGGGCCGTTTTGGACTCTCTTGGGCCGTCTTGGAGGCCGTCTTGGGTCATCTTGGGCGGACTTGGAGGCCATCTTGGGCGGACTTGGATGCCATCTTGGACCATCTTGGAGGCCATCTTGAGCCAGCTTGGCCATCTTGGAGGCCATCTTGGAGTGCTCCCCGAATCGGTTTGGAAAGCCTTCGGGGAACACGTGGGCGCCTTGAAGGTCATCGTGGCTGTCTTGGAGGCCTCTTGGGCGATCTTTCGGCGATCTTTGGGGGCTCTTGGGCCGTCTCGGGCCGTCGGAAGACCGAAAAGAAGGACATCTCAAAATCCGTTAAAAAAAACTACGGAACATCAATGTTGTTGGCCTCTTCTGGCCTTCCTGGAGGCCCTCTTTGGGGCCTCTTGGGCCCTTTTGGGCCAGCGTCGAGCCAGCTTCGGCCATCTTGGTGGGTTCCTGGCACGTCTAACGCCGTCGGGGGCAGTCTTGGGGGGCCTTTCTGGGCCAGCGGGGGACCCTCTTGGGCAGTTTTGGAGGCCATCTTGGGCGTCTTGAAGGCTATCTTGGGCGTGTTGGAGGCCTCTTGGGCAGTCTTGGGGCCCTCTTGGGGCCATCCTGGAGGCCACTTGGGCCGTCATGGGGCTCTCTTGGGGGCCTCTTGAGCGATCTTGGGGGCCTCTTGGGCCGTCTGGAGCAGTCGGAATGCCGAGAAGAAACAAATTCCAAAATCCTTCAAACACCTAAGGAAACTCAATGATTTTGGCATCTTCGGGCCCTCCTGGAAAACCTCTTGGGGGCCTCTTGGGCCGTCTGGGGGGCCTCTTGGGCCGTCTTGGGCCGTCTTGGACTCTCTGAGGCCCTCTTGGAGGCCGTCTTGGACCATCTTGGGCGGACTTGGAGGCCATCTGGGGCCGTCTTGGAGGTCATCATGGCCGTCTTGTGTGGCCGAACGTTGAGGCCGAATCGGTTTGAAAAGCCTTCGGGGAACACGTGGGCGTCTTGAAGGATATCTTGGCAGTCTTGGATGCCCCTTGGGCGATCTTTCGGCGATATGTGGGGGCCCTTGGGCCGCCTCGGGCCGTCGGACGGCCGAAAAGAAAGAAACGTCAACACCCGTCAACAACCTACGGAAAATCAATGTTGTTGGCCTCTTCTGGCCTTCCTGGGGGCCCTGAGGCAGAAAAAAACAAAAAATCAAAACAAAAAAAACATGGAAAAGGCAAACAAAGCAAAACAAGGTGAGACCCTCTGCGATTGTTCAAATCTACCACCAGAATGTCTTTGATGTTAATTATATTCTGGTGGTGGATTTGAAAGAAAAAACGCAGAGAGTCGCAGCTTTGTTTTGTTGTGTGTTTCGTTTTACCTGTTTTTGTTGTTGTGTTTGGT